TGTTTTTTTTTTTGAAATTACACAATATTGATATCGAAACTTGATAGTCTAAGTACTAACCTATCAAAACTATTTTTTACAAGCAATTTGTGGTCCAGGTTTAATATCAATAGTGCAATTTTTTTATTTGGTTTGATATGTTTAATAACAAAGTATATAGTGATCAGTAACGATTATTTGTGTTATCCTTCCATCTCTCGATATTTGGGGTATTATTCAATCTATACTGGCTTTTTTGTAAAATACCCGGGGAACTGTATGCAGTGCTGTACGGTACAGTTTCTTTGATAATTCTTTACCAGATTTGATTAAATAAAGTTAAATATATGCTATTAAGAATTCTATATAAACATGTAACTTTTGAAAGATTTAGTTATAAAACAAAATGCCCTCTCACGTTGCCCTTATTGTAGTTATTACTGATGTAAAAAGTAGCCAACTATGTTCATATGATCTTGCTAAATACAAGCAATCTAATGAAATATCTTATACAATTCGATGGAAACACTTCACTTCTATAAATGAACAGCCTCAAATAATAACAACTGGTAATATCGTATTTTTTTCAGAAAAATATGTAGTTGAAAATTTTGATCAATGTCTTACCATCGCATATGTGAGCATTCTTGATACTGGAAATTCAAATCATGAACTTAATACTGCCAACATTCCTCCATATATTCCTCACTGTATGCTTTCCACATTCATTACTCAAACCCCAAAAAAGTTCAAGATTTTATCCATTTCAGCATGGAATGTTTTGAATATAATTCCATTACCAGTATGTCTAATGTTAAGATGCAAATAACTGTTCTCTACCCCTTTCACTCAACAAGATTTCAAAAATATTTAGGCCTTTCAGGGTCAAATATTAAATTAGGTAATGCTTATTTGATTTTTGGACTCATCAAATTTTCAATGTCTGGTAAAATAATAATAGAGGCAACTGATATAGACTATCTAAAGACAAATATGAATTCTAATATGCTTAAAAGTTCCTCTTCAATGCCCAGTACTTGATTAATTATCGACATTATTGCAGATGATATTGAATCTGCTACTACTACTCATAAATCATCGGAAACTTCGACAGTTATTATTGATGATGATACAGAGGTTGATCTAAAATACAGGAAAAAAAGACTGAAAATAAAAAATTAATAAAAATAGTTTTGATAGGTTAGTACTTAGACTATCAAGTTTCGATATCAATATTGTGTAATTTCAAAAAAAAAAACA